CCAGCATTTGCATATGAAAAAGAGAAGAGAGCATTAAGCTTAACGACAAATAGAAAAACCACAAACCCCTTGAGTTTTTCATCAATCCAGGCTTCTGTGTCAGCCACGTCGCGGTCAAAAGCTGCTACCATAAACGCATCATTGAGAACATGAGATCGTTGTTCGACATCACGATGCAGGAGTGACAGCGCATCATGAACCTTAGAGTTGCTATTGAGATTATTCTATTTGACTTTCAAAACAACAAGACAAGCAGCTAAAATGGGCGCTACTGTAGCGCAGGTCCGCAGTCCAAGATAAAAGAAATTCTATAGTATGTACTCCTTGTGGGCGGGAAGAGCATCGAGTTGAATGAATTACTCTTCCAGTTTTCGCATGCGGTCCATCCCATCTACCCAGAGAATCTTTCGACAGGTGACCTACTGGACTGCGGACCCCTACTATACCTGTTAGGCTGAACTGAATAGAAACGACCTGAAAACACACCTTCTTTCTGGACAAGTCAATGTTGTTCTTTTCCATGTGATTGTTAGCGATCAAATCGTTTGCGGTACGATCGAGTAACTAAACTTCTTTGTTACATAGGGTACGGCATGAGAGGCCAAACAACTTACCTTAGTTCTCTCGTCCAGGGTTGATAACGCCTTCGCGAAAGTATCCAAACGCTTCTTCTGACCCTCGACATCAGCGACACTACCTCCAACCGCCAGCTGGCTGAAATCGGTTGTTCACATTTCAAGACAAGAAGACAATAAGACAACACTGCGCAATTTAGATCGCAGGAGGGGAAGGATGAGGCGGCGCCGCTGAGGCTACTCGTCTGCGAACTCTCGCCAAGACGTAGACCCCTTATCGAACAGGGTCAGCCTTAGAAAAGCGCACGAGCACAGTCAGCGCGGCCCAGTCTTGCCGAGGCCCCCAGAAACTAAGCTAAGGCCGAGAAAAGTACAAATCAATTGAAAGGCAAACTTTCACAAATTCCGCGTTCTTTTTCCAAACTTATAGCCGCACTTACCGCAAAGTAGCCCTCTTGCTTGCGATGAGGGTGAGAATTTGATTTGCTTCCTGTTGGAGAGCATGCCATTGCACCAAT